GTTGTTTCTATTTTTACTTTTTTTTTTCTTAATAGGAAAAAAGTTCCAGGTTCAGGAAAACGAGAACGGATCAAAAGCTTCTTCACACTTTGGGTCGAAAGGGTTATTCACGTATAGCTCGTGAAATGGTACAATTACACACCTATCTTGTCTGGTTAGGAACGGAGTTTCATTTCTTCTAAGTTATAGGTATTACACACCATTGTTGATTTCCTTCAAGTAGTCATTATGTAAGTACTAAATTTATATTGTAGAGAAAAAAGAATCCGGATTTAAAGGGGTTAAGAACTATAGTATGGATGCATGGACATCTTAGAAACGATGGTACACCGATAAATGAAGCAGTTGCCGCAACTTTGGTACATGTATTCTTTCAATGTATATGATTTATTATACATATTCAAAGCTAGCATCTAATCTGAGTTCTGTAAATGCAGAAAAGGATAGAAGATTGTTTCCAATCAATTTCTGATACACCAGCAGAAAATTCCATCCGCGATGATGCTATTGCTCGAGTTTTAGGTCCTGAGCATCGTGGAAGAGTTAGAGGACTTGGATTTGGAGTTGCACCATCGAAAGTGGATGGACAAATTCAAAGTAATGGGAGAGTGAGAGAACTTGAAGAAAAGGTTGGAGCGCTAGAAGAAAAGGTTGAAGCACTTCTTCAATTATCTCAACAGGTTATAAACTTTTATCATTATATATATATACAATGATAATATAGCTTGGCATATCTCAATATGGAGAATAATTTTTTTATTTTTGTATCATTTACAGAATCAAAACAAGAATGTAGACGACATGAGTTCATGTGCTTTTACTCAGGTTTTTGTATCAAAAAAATTATTTTGTATTCACTATAAACATAGAATATAGCATACTAATTTACTTTACTTTGATTTTGTAGTCACAACACGAAAGTGGTATCTACAGAGGGATTGTACATATGGAAAATGCAAGGTGTCAACTGTTGTATTGGTACATATTTGAAGAGGAGGAAATTGTAGCTGAAGGAAGGATTGCATCGACAGACCCAAGTGCAAAGGTCCATCACGTACCAATCGGATGAGATTGTTGGAAGGTGTGGATTGAGGAAGTGT